CTAAATGATTAGTGGTAATTTATTTTATTTCAGAAAAATGTGGTTTATTTGTAGAGTTTTAGTGTATTAAATATTGCAAAAAGACGGAGAATTGTGCCATCGGAAATTTAATTTTTAATAATTATAATCAGAAAATATTAAGTAGGATTTGAGGTTCTCCTGGCGGTGAGTTCAAAGATCTCTGTCTTCTGAGTTGTAGCGCCATGTAGTCTGGTAGAAATTTAAGAACGTTTCAGAGGTCCTTACTGCCTTCATCATCAGGGCGATGAGCCCCAGAGAAGACTATCACCTGTTCTGTATAAGGCTTCCATCCGATACATATTGACCTTGAAGATGGCAACGTAAAATCTTGAGGAAACGTTGGATATCTCCCAGCGATCGACGCTGCTGATCTCCGAAGCCCAAATCTCTGCAAAGTGTTGTTTTTATCCATTTGAAATTCCCAGGTTGGTTTCTCCTGTTGGTCACGCAACCCGCGCAACAAGTAGCACGCTCGTTTCCGTTTTAACTCTGTTACTTCATGACTGATGTTTGAGTTCGGTTCATTGCAGACGGCAAGCAAAATCGATGTCTCTCAGGACGTTCAGCTGTGGTGTTCCGTGACTCCTGGCAGGCCCAATGGTTCCATGTCCGAAAACTAATGGCTCTTTGAGGCGAAGTGGCTGTGGATAATTAACCTGATCGAATATTGGATGATTTATCGACTCAGCTGAGGTGCTTTTTATCGATTTTCTCTGTTCCGTATCAAGTGTCTCGGCCGAGTGAGATCATGGGTTCGAATCCCGCTTAGGTCATGGATATATTTCTTCTAACTGTGTTGTGTTGTCCTGTTAGTAATTGCACACCAAGCTGGTGAAAATGTTCGTGTACACACATGCACTCTGTCTCCAGGTGACTGGTTGCCATTTTACTGATATAGATGTTATTACCAATCTCTTGAAGATGGGAGAGCAGTATACCTCCGAAACGTCCAATGTATCATACAGTAATATGATATAATGTTAGTAGCGTTATTATTAATCGTGATCATTCTGCTAATCATCAACTAACATAAACAGTAGACACTTATTTGTTATACAATATGGTCATTTTTATGTATCGATAATAAATGTCTGTTTAGTTGTTTTACGTTATAAAATATTAATCGTTATTTCAAATGGTGTCACGTGGAAGCTGTAAACTCTAATAAACGTCGAGCCGTTGATCGTATTGAACCTGTGTGTTGCGTGTTTGGTGTTTGTGAAGGAGGCAGTATATGTGCAATACTGCTTGGAGCTCGGTGTGATTGCATGTCTGTAAATAAAAATGTTCACATCCAAAATATCGCACGATATACGATATTCATTTGTTATGAACATACATATATATAGGCTTACAGTATTAAATGTTCATATCGTATTCCCAAAGGATTCGGGAATTTTTATGTTTTAACATTGGCATTGCAGCCTGCTTCTTGGTACGAAATATTACACAGTATATTTACCATGTATGACCTAAATTACACGTACAAAATTTATTTATAATATTCCCCTCCCTATATTATTGATGAGTATTAGAGGTTATCCTTCCATCGACGTATTTGTCTTCCAAGTGGTCTCTTTCTATACTCCTTATTATGGTTTTAGAACATGAACGTGTTGTGTCATGTGTTCCTGCGAGCGACAGTAACTGGTTTGGGAATCCCCGATGACGGAATCCGTAACTAAACAGGTAGCAACTTTGGGATTCAAACTTCACGGGCGCCGTTTTTCAAAGGTCAGATCTTTGTGGACACTCGAGGTTTACGCTGTGAGTAAATGTCCTAACTTGTTTTGCTTCAGGACGTGAAGCAGAAACAGATTCTTTTTACTTCTAAAATTTATTCTCCACATCAAATTAAATTAGATTTTCTGTGAAAAACTGTGCTTGCTTTTACATATTTTTTGTGTGGTGGTTTCTAGTTATTCCCATGAACGAGCAAAGATCTCGGTAAATGCAGACTTCTGCGTTGTTTCAAAGTAAGAAGTTGGATACAATCTGCAACGTTTTCACAAATTTTACGTATAATGAGGTTCTCGAGTGTTCAGTATGTGTATGTCATGGAACACTGATTCTTTTTCACATTTTGAATCGAAGCTGGAATAGGATTGGGTAATGGGATAGTACATTTTGAAGGATTATAGTCGGTAACGGCAGAATGTGACCGGTTGGGTAAATGTTACACAGTCAGCAGAGCATGTACTTGGTTCATCTCCGCAGAAAATGAAGGGTGTGAAGATTTCTCACAAAGACCAACTGCCATACACTTCCATCCTATTTCCTTAGTTCAAAATCTCATGTTCAAAGAATCATTCATTCCGTGTCCGATACCCTCTGTTACATTCCATAGCATGCTGTGTTTGACGTTGATAAGCTGTTAGCGTTCCTTTTAAACCCCCGACCTGAAGTAATGCCCCTTTTTGGCTGTCCGCAACTGCTTATTCAATATATTCATAACTGCCCTTCATATATGGAGACGACCTCCTCCATCCATAAAGTGGGGACGCGCAGTGCTGTCTTGACAATGGACCTATTGTCTAGTTTCTCATTAAGAAAGTACTTAGCAACATATTTGTCCTGCCAAGGCCTCCCCCCTCCACGTCTGTATAAGCTCCTCATGTTAACTCCATTCAACATGAACAGTTAAGATAGTGATGCAGATCTAGATGGTTGTCTTCTAGGTTGCAGCGCCGTGTAGTCTGGTAGAAGTTTACCATCGGTTCAGAGGTCTGATGGACTGTTACTTCCAGTGGGACCATCGTTATAAACCCAGTTTTACATGTTGATGACTAAGGAAGGCATTGTCCTTGATCGTACATCGGAGTTAATCAATTTTGTTATTGAATCCTTACTGTGGTGGACAAAGTTTTGCCGGGACATGTTTTTCTCCTATTTATTTGATATTTTCCTGCCAGTATCATTCCACCTCTGTTTTGTATTCACTAACATTTCTGGGGGATAGACTAAAGGCTCTTTAGCGACCGCAGTTTTACAGACACTCTCCACATCGCAGCAGTAATAGTGACAAATTCTGCCCTGAGGATCTGTTAGATGTAGAAAGGAACTTGTTTCTTTATCGTGTGTAGGATTATTTCAGACTGGTAATCAAAAGTTTTGGACGGAAGATGCGACCATTTGTATGTCTGACGCACGTCTTTTATACGTCCACAAGAGAAACGAAATTAATTTTAACTACAAAGTGATCTCTCTGTAGAACCGTTTCACATACAGATTTCTCTTATCATAATTTTCAGTCGCCCAATTGGAAATTTCTACATTCCCCCTTTGTAGACGTCTTTGAAATTCGAATAATACGATGTAAGTAGAGATTTTATCAGCCACTGAGTCGTAAGCTGATTTGGACTGGCTTTTCTTTTACCGCCGAACCATGAGACTTCTTTTCAAGATTTTCTAACTTCTGAAGCTTACCAGTTGAAAAAATTCCGATACCCTTGAGGGCTAGAATTATTTTTCTTTCACTCTTCTTCCTCTAAACTCGCTTACTCGGAATGTGATTGAATTGTCATTTTATTGCCAATTTTGTGCTTACATGCGAATGTTGTATTTATTTTCTGGCCGAAAAGAAATCAGTACTTTGAAGGTAGACATATGCCCTGCTCGAGATTAGAATTTGTACTCGGTGTCCGGTTGCTTTAATATATTTAGTGGTTTTATTAACTGCTTTAAGCAGGTCAGCTACCTCTTCCTTCCATATTGTTTAATTTCCTTCATTTAGGCTCCATTCTTTATTTCAAGGTCACTTAAGTTTCAGACCTTCAGATAACAGCGTCGTTAAATACACTGGATTAATCTATGCATATGAATGTTGTGTGTGTTTTTTTAATATTCCATGTAGGTTTTGTCTTGAGTTGGTGCAACAGAGTAAAATATTGTAAGTATCTTGTCAGTCAGGTGTAAAATGAAGGTACTATATGTAAGTGAACATTTAGACGTGATGTAGACGCGGCAGAGGGTGACATAATACCCCTGGTTCTGTGCAAATGGTATTACTTGCTGCATTGGCGATTAAGTGAAAACCTTTGTTTGTATACTCCAGTATAATAAGGACGTAATGTACGCCTCCCACAGAGAACTTTGTGGCAGGCAAATTATGCAAGGGTCTATAGTGCTACTTCATACTGGTGAATGCGGTACGTACCTTGGTGTCTGTGTCTTTCCTGCAGAACACAAAGGATTTTCTCAGACGTTTTTATTCCCTGTAGAGTAGGAGGTTGTTCACAAAGATATGTGAATTGCTTTTTATTTTTATCCGAAAAGACTGGCTTATCTGTATATTTTTTAGCCGAAATTTAGACGAACTATTTTGAATAGTCTTATTTGAGGTACTGAAAATCTCAGTGCGGTTATTACCTCGTACTTCATACCAAAGAGTTACTGGGTTTGATTCTTGGGGTTGTCATTTATGATTTATTTAACGACGTTATGAGCGTCTTAGACTGTATACGTCAAATGGTAGATTGAATGTGTAATGAACTGGGAAGGATATGCAAGGAAACGGATATCCTGACCAAGGTTATTATCGTTTCCAATATTAAGGATCAACCTCTCGACTTGTATCGATAATATAGATGTAATATTTTCATTGGACCTATCTGAAATGTTCTACTCTTTAGTTTATGCTGATAAAGAGGGATTCGTTGTTGAGCCATTATTTCCTAATGTTCTAGTTATTTCTTTTGTGGGTTCTTTTTTTTTGTGTTCATATATACGTATTTATTATTAGTTTCACTTTTAATCAGCGATAATCAGAAAGTTTAGGTTATGTACGTATTTCAATCCTCTTGAAACTGCATCCCGTCACATTAAGTGCTTATAGTGGAAGCCATTGGCCACCATACACATTTGAACGCGATACTACAAATGTTTTGAGACATTAAGGCATTGATACCTCAAATTTCATTAAACTTTGTTAAATAACCCACATTTTAAACAAACTATGACAGGGTTTTTCAATGTTTCAGAGCAAAGTGGAGGTCAGCAGACGAACAAGAAGAAAACCAGTTTCTCGCGTTTCCTAAGAGGCCTGAAGACGGGACATCGCAAGGAGAAGCACTTGGGAAGCTCCCCCAGACACACGCGGTCAAACGCCAGGGGACCGCAGACAGGCAGGGTAAGTAATGTTCATTAACAGAGTCGTACATTATTTGCGCTGGATAGGAAGCTAGGACACCCACAGAGCCTGTAAGGACGCGGTGACGAGGATAATAATTATACCTCTGCTTTGAATCGAACTTAGTTCTTCAGCCTGTACCAGTCACGGAGCTGTCCGGAATATCACTTATTTTCACTGGTTGAATGAGTATTCTTTTAGACATGTGTGAGTCAGAAGACATTAAAATGTCATCTTTATGAAGAATAGTTAATTTAATTTAGAGTTGTGATGCTAAGCTGTAGTGTTTTCGATGTGTTAAGACAAGCATTAAGCGGAATCTTAAGTGGCCTCTTTCATTTTCTTATTTAGAGTATTTTACAACTGGTCTGCCATAAATTGGCGAATGGATTTGGTTTGTGCGGAGAAATTTTGACTACAAATGTCAACACAACTTTGGTCTTATTTTCAACTTTTACGAGACTTCGAACGATTTAAGTCGTGAAAACAAATGACCTACTTGTGTGTCGCTGTGTAGGAAATGCTACTGGGTTAGATTTATCTACTCGTTTAATGTCGACCACTTGCCTGAAAGTAAATAGATGAAGTTTGACGAAGATTATTTTCGGGTTTACAGCCGAAGAAACTTGAAAAAAAGATCAGGTTTAATGGTTTTCGTCCAAAAGCTGTAGATCTGTGATCAAACAATAAACACCTCAACTTAACGCTGAAATGATTGTTTTGCTGAGTTATGGATAATATGAGATACAGACAGTGAGGTAGGAATTATGTTTTGGTTGTAATTTTTGTATTTTCACCTCTGTGCCCCAGTAAAGTAGAAATGACGTGTTACCATTTTTTTTAGAGAGTCATTATTGTTTGATTTATCGCAGCAGATGAGTTGGTGATGAATTGTAATGAGAAGTGTCGTTGCCCAAGATACCACTTGGTTAATGAACCGGTTCGTTTATGCCCGTTTGCGTGTTCTCGACAATTCTCGGATTCCATCTTGTGTAATTACGAGATATAAATTTCTCAGCACCAGTTTCTGAGGACAGGACTGCTCAGTGGACGGGCAAGAACGTACCGTACAGTCTTCTCATTATCTTTTGTGTGTGTAAAGTGGTGTCCCGCGATATTCAGACTCTACACATGAATCTCCGTCCATACTAGCCGAAGTCATAACCTCAGTGTTCCTGGCATTACAGACGCGTCAGTTGAATCGTAGATGATTAACATTTTCATCGCCTTTCCCGAACCACGCGGTCTGTTATCTTTTGGTAACACGCAACTCTTCTTACCCAGTGACGTCACTCAACTCCCCCTGCCAGAATATTTTAGGGACCTACACATTCCCACAGACATTCTTCCTGTAGATGGCAACATAAATATTCGCCGAAACGTTGAAAAATCTTTAACAATAGACGCGGTTAACCCCATAAAGCCGAGATTGTACATTATACGACTGCTATTTATATATTTATATTATATATTATTGTAGCGTTTCTTTCCGGGAAGCTTAGTTCATGATGTGATTTTGTAACCACTGTGTGAATTGAATCAATTAAACACTGGCATCCCGGGGGGGGGAGTGCATTTCACTGCAATTGAGGACAATAATGCGCTTTGGAGATACGTTATATGCTGCAGGTTACTTCACCTTGGGTGGTTCCATGTAACCTCCTGGAATTCAGATTCCAGCGAAATTTGTAGCGGTACATGGCCCCTATGGTATTAACAGGTTTTCCGCTCCAGGTAACTCCAAGCGGGGCTAAAGACTTGACCCGTGGTCATCATTACGTATGATTCTGTGTGATTAATTCGTATGCAAGTTTCGATTCCAGTCTGCCCGTTTCAGTACCGTGAGTGTTTAAGTTTGCTACAGTCGAACTGGGTCTTCGTGTAACCTGTACTGGACTTAGTTATATTTTGTTCATACTTGTTTTAGTATAAATTTGATTCATTTAAGTTAATTTCAGAATTAATACTTATAAATTTAAGTGTAATGTTTATTTACAGTTCCAGTACCATATTTATATATTTGTATGTACCATTTCAGTGTTATTATAAGCTTGTTTAATTTTAAGTAAAAGGAAATAAATTACAGTTTATTCTTGGAAAATGCTCACTCAGGAACGTAACTGTATGTACCATTTCAGTGTTATTATAATCTTATTTAATTTTAAGTAAAAGGAAATAGATGACAGTTTATCCTTGAAAAATGCTCACTCAGGAACGTAAAACTAATTTTAAAATAATGAGCCATCGATTTACGAGTTTTAGTGTTGTGCTTTATTTCACAGAAAAGCAATGAACATCGTAAATCAGTGTACAACCTTATTTTCGTTTCTACTTACAATTCTCAGTAATAAACGTTCAAGAAATAACTCAGTCAAGTATCTGACCTATGTCCCTTTTGCTCCTAACTGTTATGTAGCTACTCCAAGCCTGTAGCTATTTCTCTTAGCAGCTTAAATTTGCCTTAATTTGACATAAATATTATAATTCGAAATTTAATTATTAAATTCGTAGAGGAAGTAAACTAGCTTAGTTAAAGCTGTATCTGATTAAACCTCCATCCAGTGCTGAAGTTGGTTTTCGTCTCAGGGCCCCTGACTGCCATATTTATGTGTTATGAATAGTTTATATGACTGAATACACACTTATGCCACTATTGAACCAATTTCACAACTTTTCACGTGAATCATGAGGGTATAGGAAGTAGATTCGATGCAATAACTGAAGAGTTGTAGTACCCTCGTCCAATTAAACTTGAGTTCATCACCTGGAACATGTGACCACGACTATGGCTTTGTGATATGAATCCGAAGTATGTAAACTAATTGTATTCATATATGTATCCAAGGATGAAACTGTTATCAGAACGCAGCAATTTCAGAACACACTTTTGACGTGAATATGATAATGTGCCACTGTCATCTCTGAAGATAGAGACGGTATGTTCTTCATAAACGGCCATCTACGGGTTTACGCGGGGGTCACTGCCCAGAAAATTATGTCATTTGAGTCTACATACTATATTCAGTGGATAAATTACCTTTAAATGAACACAGTGTTGGTTTTGTAGCATTGTCGTATAGTGTAATTGAATTTGTCATATTTCTAGAATATCAGTTTACAGCGTTTTGTCGATTCGTTAGCTCAGACACCAGAATATTTTCGTTTGAAACTGTACAGATCCAATAAATAACGACCTGCTATATTGTTCTGATCGCAATAATTCATACAGTCCATGTGATGTATAAGCCTTATTTCATATCGGTCTTGACCATTGTGCTTCGTGTCGTATGCCTATATCCCCTCCCCCCCGCACTTCTGTCGTGGGATTAGATATATCTTATTCCTATATGCCCAGATGCAGCGTTTTGCACTCCCAATAAACCAGCACGCGAATTTAAAAAAAAAAATTGACGTGATTGTAACGGCCACGGCATGAAGGGGGGATCCCCCCTCCGACTTGATGTCGTTTTTCGCAGTGATGGGTGGAATAGGCAGTGGACACAAGAGATAACCGAAAAGAATAGCAGAATAACTCACTCGCCTTGCACGTAAAGGGACCTTTACGCGGCCGAACACACCGAGTGTTAAGGAAAGCAACGCTCGAGATATGTTGGCGCGTATAATAGAATAAATATCTTGGAGACAGTTGTGGATTCTGAAGTTCTGACACCAGACATTCACTTGTGAAGTGCTAAATGAGAAGTTATTCTAGTACAACGGCAGAACTGCACGAACGTTATTTATACTTCGCCATGTTTTACAGTTTATCTCAACACGAACATTGTTCTGTGCATGTTTGTTTGGGTCGATTATGGGTTTTTGTGGCAGACATAACTGAATGGTTATTCACTACTGACAAGTCAAACAATAAATTAATTAAAATGTAATCCTTACTATGTTGTATATATTAAAAAATATGTTTATAGACGTTTATAAGTAGTTTTATACGTTCATAGAAAATTTAAATAGAAATTTATAGACTATACGTTTTATAGGCCTTTTTATAGATTTGCAAGTACTTTTTCTGTTGCTATATTCTAGTGGTACTATATTGGCTAACACGTTGACATGCTTCTAAATTATTGTACATTGTAGATATAGGGTGTATCTCAAGTGTTTCGGAGATCCTTATTGTATCCATCTTAAGGGCGAAATGATTACCCAGTGGTCCCTGCCGATGATTTATAGCAGGCGCATTTGTTTTACAAAGCAGGCTGCGACCTCGTCATTGATTTGGAAAATCAGTGTCTGTCCCCAAATGTTTTAACATATAATGTTCATACCTACTAATTAGGTAATATCCAGTCGGTAAAATATTCTTTATTTTTGTGAGGCCTGTAGATTTGTCAGCGTGTTTGTAGTTCATGATAAATAGTCCCATAACTCTGATATTTGGTATCGTATTTGACATTTATGAGATATCGATAGTTGAATGTTGGACCAGACTTCGTTATTTGAATGTTGTTAACTGTTCACTTTCTGCTTGTTGGTTTATACTAGTCTTGGAACTAGGTACCTGAAGGGTAATACGTGGAGATTTGTTGAAAAACGAAGAATAAGAAGTGGTTTAATGGTACCCAATTATACAACGGAACACTGCAGAACAGATGAGGTAAAATGCAACGTTAGCCATCTCCGAGTCTTGCATTGTTAGCCAGCTAACAGAAGCTTTACGCTCCTGACGAGCGTAACGACGCCTGCCTGGCTGTAGCTGGCTAACGATACACTTTACGTAATCGGTTCTGCTATGTTCAGTTTATCATGGAGCACCACTGAACCACAGGAAACAAAACTTTTTTTATTTTTCGGTTTTGTTTGTGTTAGCCGGGGTAACACGGTTAAGATGAACGCTTCGCTTTGCTGAAGACTCTATTTAAACTTCGCATCATTTTTATAAACTGGTCCTGAACGATTAGCTTGATTAAATGCTCGCATTAGAAACTCATAAGCTATGTAACTTGGAGCGTTTTAGCGCTATGGTGATCTTGATGCAGTTCACT